GACCTTCTGAGGGATCTTCCAGCTCTATGGTTGTATGGTTTATGGTTTATTATATCCATGTAGCCTTAACATTATTTTTAAAAGTGGGTTGGGTTTTTCTGTAAATAATTTGAGTTCTATTTCCAGAACACAGACCCCCGTTTGAGAAAAGCATTTAATCAGCAGACTAATTGTTTTGAGGTGCTTTGCTGAACTGGGGCTATATGTGGGTGCTGGTGGGAAGGAGAGAGCCCAGTGTCTGTTCAGGGATGAGAAAGAAAACAGTCAAAATTGAATGGGGACCAGAAGACTGTGTGTCAAGGCAGAAGAGGAGGATACAGCACCACTTTTTAGTCTCCCAGTCTGACTACTGACATATCTAGTAGCAATTAGATATGTATTCGTGCATATGATTCAATTAGAAAAGGATTTTCCATTTGAGCTGCTAATAACTGCATGAACAAGTTATTAAATGTTGCCAAAACCAAATGAAAAGAGCTTATGTTGCAGAAACCACATCCATCCTTTGCTGCAAGTCATATCCAAAAGGTTAGTATTTCTCTTAGTACTATTTTGTTTGATCTAACACATTTCAATATGGAGGAAATGAATTTGGAGCAGGGATGCAATCTTGTATACAGCTTATGCGTAGTGTAATCAGGACATGGGTTTCACATTCTTATTTACATTATTAAGAAATTATTCCTGTGAAACTGTCTACTATGCCTTTTGTAGTAGTAATAGAGGAGTAGAATCCCTGCCATTGGACATTAGACAGGGTCCAAAAGCACATGTTCTTGAAAGTCATCAGGCTTCAGGCCTTTGAAGTTGCCTGTACTGGGTAAGAGAGCTGGAGTTGTGAATGCAGGGAAGTCTTTGCAGCTTGCAGTGCATGCTCCTGCTGGTGCTATCCATGCATGCGCTCTCCCTCTAAATTCTGGTGATGCCAGAGCATTTTTAGAGACGCACATAAAACTGGCTTAGCATAAACATGCGGGCATCTTCTAGAAAAATATTACCTTCTATCCATTTCTGAATAACTAAGAAGGATTTAAGCAACTAAATGCCAGTAAGTTCTGGAACCAAGTCCCACTAGGATTCACAAAGTCCTCATTCAGTTATCGCTAAACATTGCAGATACGTAATCACTTGGCACCTGCATTTTTGCAGTCAGCAATCAGATATCTAAAGCCCCAGAGCAATGTGTGACCTGTGGGGAAGAGAATGTTCCTCTGCTTCATTCTCCTGTGGGACTCATTCCAGTACGTTCCGAGCTCCCCTGGTGGCTTGGATCCCTATAGATAATATAAAATGGCTAGAGCAGTGTTTCTTAAACTGTATTCCACGGCACACCAGTGTGCCATGAGGCAGTCGGAGGTGTGTCGCGGAGAACAACAGAGTTCAAAATAGCAGGGCATTAAAGGGGCAGGTGAATTCCCCCTCCCCTGACTTTTTTTTTTCCTCAACAAAAAATCCTTTTCTCAAAAAAAAAATGTTTGGTGTTCCTCAATCTTAAAAAGTTTGGGCTAGAAAGAGAGATGGGAGTGGGTAGAGGAAAGGAGGGCTTTACTCATCTCTTATTGCCTAGATGCTGAACTCAGGCTTTGTCAATCCCAGTGATTTTCTAGGCTCCCAGAGGCTAGGCATGGTGATGCTCAGATATTAAAGGCTTTTAGCTGAAGAGAGAGAGAGATCAAATGCTTTAGGATCAGAGAATTTTCTCTTCTGTTCAAAAAAAAACTCAGCAGAGACAGATTTCTTAGACTGTAAAGTTGCAGTTCAGATAAAAGGACCAGATTCAGGAATGTTTTATGGACCATTCATATACTGCAAGGGCAATTTTTTCCTGTAGTACTTCCATGATAAAGTTGCAAACAATGGCCAAGTCACTACAACAAAGAGAGTGAATAGTGTTGAACCTGCAGTGTTAGAAATGTTGTTCTAGTGCCGTGGTGTCCAACCAGTTCTACTGCTGTAGAGAACTAGCCACAGTCAACTGGCCAAATAGTCACATTTTTCAAGCCATCTAGCTACACTCAAATAGCCCCATGTAGCGAGGCTAGCATGTTGGACACCATGGTTCTAGTGGTAGATTCCTCCTGCATGGTTATCAATGTAACTGAAAGTTAATCCTATTTATAAAAGGCAAGGAAGAAGTCAAAGTCTAATGTCCTCTTTGGGACTAGGTTTGGCCTACAAGGTAAGTTTGTAAAAATTTAGCCTATTTTACTGGGCAGGGCCTGCTACAAAACTTTAATGCTCCCCTGGCAGTTCCTGTAGTTACTCAATCCAACCAGGAGGTCCATTCTCTCCTGCTGATTTTCACTGTATTTTCCATTTCACTTAAACCAGATGAAATTGGAACAGATGTTTGACTCATTATAATTCAATGTATTGAGGTATAGTCTGGGATATGAAGGATAAGTTACTGAAGAAAGTGAATGACGTGACAGGACCTATAAGAACGATATACTTGCTATTCTGGGAACCTGTGGGAAGGAAGGAGAGATGGAGTCTGGGATGAGAGGCGAGTACATGAGGCTCTGCAACAACTGGGGACAAAAGTATTAAAATTAGGTTCACTTTATTTTTGGATTGAATATGTTTGGGTCACTGAATAATTTACTCATTGTAATGCCAAAGTATGTCGCATTCACACAATAGCACATGAAACATTTAGCTTAATTTGCAGCAAGGGAGAGTTCTGTTAGATATTAGAGAAAAATTCTAACTACAGGGATAGTTGGCATGGTAACAAGTTAGACAAACAGCTGACAGGGATGGTCTAGGTATACTTAATCCTGCCTGAATGTAGCTGCATAGATTAGACGATCATGAGTCCCACCCAGTCCTACCTTCCCTGATTCTGTGTCAATTCACTGTCATAAAAGACATTTTTATTCCCTTCAAATAAAAGTAAAACTTCTGTTTAAAACCACATAGAAAAGACTCAGACCTGGAGTGCAGCACTGTCCACCCTCAGCCCTCAGAGCCACACAGAGTACGTGGTGCTCTGTGTTTGATTTAAAGAACCCAGGGCCACACAGAGCCACATGGAGTAGCAGCAGCCGTCAGCCCTCGGCCTCTGTGAATTGCCAGGCTCCTGAACAACTGCCCCTGTCTGATCCCCTGTCGGTAGGTCTGGAACCATTTTAATGTCCACATTAATGCCTATTTTGAATTCTACTGTATTTCATCTCCTAATTCTTAATGTGGGTGATTAATTGTAGCATTATTTTTTCACCACAGGAATGAATATTCTTCAGCTGCCATTAAAATCATTCTAGGTCAACAATCATGTCTTGGAACCAGATTCTTTCATAGAGAATTTTCATTACTATTATTTAGCCATTCATTTTATTCTACAGTCTGCTACATCAATTTTTAAACACTAATAATAGAGCAAAATTAAATCCAGAAAAGCAGTCCCTTCTTTGCTATACAAAAGTGCTTCCATTTGCAGAAATATGTTGTGAAAAAATATTTCTTATACTTTTTTCAGTGAGCATCTAAAGTGCAAACAACTTTGTTTACAAGAAAACTTTAATTGTATAATTTAAATACCATTTTCCCCAAAATTATCATATTTATTATTTTGATTGTTTTAGCATTTTAATTTCAAGTATGAAAATAAATCCAGCTGAGTTATACTCTTCCTATAAAGTATTAGTCTTTTAAAATGTTTAGGGGACTAAATCAAATCCTACTGAAGTGAATGAGAATTTCTGAAATTTTCAGGTGGTACTTTCAAAAGGGTTTATAATGCGGTTTGTGACAGGCACCCTCTCTCCATCCTCCTCCCTCCCTGCTTTATGAAATGGACTTATGGACATGAATATACATAACTCAAAGGTGTTTTGAACAAATTATTTCATGTAACCCATCAATGTTCATGTCATGATCCACTGGTTCTGTTTATCTTACTTTGATGTATGTATCATTTTTGCATATAAAATTAGACGTAAGGAATGGGGAATACTTTGTGGGTTTCTAATGTGTGAATGCAAGAAATGGGGATGTTACCCTTGATGTCTTGATGAGTAACTAGTAAACAATCTTTTTTGTCCCTAAGTCTGAGCAGTGGTCAGTACGGAGTGGCCTCAGTTCTTTAACAAAAAGAATAGAAAGCAGAGGCTTAGGTCTTTTGGCTGGGATGCACCTGATGGAAAGGAGCCAAAGACCCCACAGTCAGGAAACAGCCCTAATTTGGAGGGGCAGCTGGAAAAGAGGTTTTAGGGTGAGTGTGAAGAGTTTGTACTGAGGTTTCAGTGTAGAATTAGCCAAGCGTTTTTGTTTCTTTTGATTTGTAAGTTACCTACTTTGCTCTGCCTGTTCTTGCTTGTTACCACTTAAATCCTACTCCTTGTACTTAATACAATCATTTTTATTTTCTATCAAACTCAGTGTAAATAATTACTACCTGGGAGGGCAACCAGTGTGTACATTCCCCCTTTCATTGTTAAAGGTGGCTTTACTCTTATCTAATTCTTTGGGGTTTGATCCCATCTGGAGAGTGGTATCCCAAGAAGCTGGGCCCTAAACTGCACACTCCTTGGAGCTGAAGTGGTTAAGTGCCTGTACTGCTTCTCGATGGGGGCAGGGACCTCAGTTCGGGGCCTTGACTGGGGGAGACCAGCGGAGTTGGCCCAGCAGGACCAGGTGGTGAGGAACCCCAGAGAGTGGGAAGACGAGTGGCAGTGGCCGTGTCAGTACCCCAAGAGTCACCCCTGAGGAGTCGTCTGTGACCACACCCCGTCACACTGTCCTAACTCCACTTCCACTGAAGTCAAAAGTAATACTGTCATTGAATTTAATGGAGCTGTAGTAAGCCAAGACAGATCACTCCTGAGTACTATAGCCATAAACTTTCATATATCTATAACTCAAAAATATTTTACCTATTTCACTAACCCTTAAAATGCACCCACAAAAATGGCAAGTTGCAGGTGAAAATTATTTAGATGTATTTCCTTACTCTCTGAATTGAAACTTAATGAAAGTTTTCTTGTAATTTTCAGATGGTTGTAGGGAGTACAGACGTGCCGTATTGAGCTTGTCTGTCAAAGAAAGGTAACTTTTATAATTTTATGGTGGTAATTTTGCTTGAGTACATATAAATTACATTTTGAATGCAACCCCGAGAGCCACTTATGTTTAGTTGCTGTACAGAGAGAGATTTCTAATACCAAAGGAAAACAGTACAGAGTATGGGCTTATCAATTATTTAAAGAAAATATGAACAAAACATTTAGTTCCACAATACAGTGGGGGTTGCATTAGCCTAAGGACATTTCTGTGCTACTGTTTGAAGTCCATCATTTATGAAGTCAGGAAAACATACCATTAGAAAAATACAGTTACTGTAGGAAAATGAGGCATAAATATTTTAAAAGAATGCAAATTCTGTAAAAATAAGCAAAACCATCTGGTTTAATGAGTGACTTGTGTATACAACATGAGAAAATTAACTGAGCACTGGAAGATTGTTATGTGATTGATTGAGCAATGGATTCCATTGTACACAGGCATATGCATGTCTTCTATATGCAAATTTATAACACTGAAAAATAAAAAAATGATGCATCCTTTCCAAGAAGGGCATCCTGTACCAAATCCTTTTTGGCCACAAAATCCGGGGAACATTCATACTGCAACACAGCAAAGTCATGACAAGCACCCAGCTTTGGCAACAAAAAATGTACAGCTCAACAAGGGACTTTTGTCTCTCCCCGTCCTCTTACTGTTGACAATCATGCAGTGTGCACTACTGTAGGCATTTTGTCAAGTTTATTGAACTCCATCATGTTTTCAGAGCCAAGCTAATGGAACTCCGGCAGGCATACCAGAAGGCAAAGGAAGCAAACAGATCTGTTGTTGCACCCAAAACAGCATGCAGCCACCACCTTGGGGATATGATCCTCCAAAAGGTCCAGCCTGCCAGAGAGACATCTCCATCTCCCAGTCAGTCTACCACAGGCAAATCAATAACCATGAAGCATCAGTTTAGAATGTTGTTGAACTGCACCTTACTGCTGGGCAGGTGCCCTATGTAAGGCTACATGAGCCAGGGCTATAAGGGGTAAACCACTTCACCTAGGATTACTATGGGTATTTTTACATTCCCCACAGTAATTTTCTGGTCTAGAAAGGAAGTCCCAGCATTCAGCATAAAAGGCAGCAGAACAGCTCAGTTTGGGCTGGTCTCTGAAGGAGAAGGACCTTCAGTCAGAGCTGCTGGACTCCACCTGACAGCAGGGGATGCAGACCCAGGAAATTTCTGCCACACAGTCCCTGAGGAACCCCAGAGAGATGCAGCTACAGGGGAAAAAGAAGACACAGCCACTTCATGGGAGCTCACCAGTAGGAAATGACCCTGGGAGGGTGCAGGAGCAGACCCTTCCTCTCAGGTAAATTCGGCGTGTTTCAGCCTGATTCCTCGCCAAGGGAATGATAGACCACTCTACCACTCACAGTGCCATGGGTTGGGACCAGGTGGAGTAGGGTGGGCTCCCAACCTCCCAACTTATTGATTTGAGCTACCAAGCCATGTTTCCCTGCATTAAAGGACCATACCCTATTGACTCGGGCTACCCAGCTATGCTACCCTGAGTTAGAGAACCACCTGTAACTGACTCTAGCCACTAGGGTATAACTACCCTGGACCAAGGGTCATGGTTCGAAGACTAAGAGAGAGAGACTGCCAGCAGTCCAATGGCTGACTAAGCAGCATCCACGCCCTCATATAACCTCTCCCAAGTGATGGGGTGTGCACATGCTACAACACCACTGCTTTCAAGCAAATGAAAATTACTGGATGGACTTTGCCTCCACAGAAGGATTTCCATGCATAAAACATTGAATGAAAAGAAAGTGAGAAAACTATATGAGCTATAGAATATTTAATTCACAAACTCAGTGGGCCACAAACTCAGTAGCTTCAATACTCAGGTCTGGCTGAGCCCTACTTAGCAGTTGTATATTTCTTTTGTATTCCCATAACCCCAAGAGGCTATTTGGTTCCAGTCCAGTTGCTGGATTGCTAGAGAATAGCAACGTGTGTGGAGTAGAGCAGTCATAACTGATGGTATTAGCCATGAATTTCTCTCCCTTTTGGGATTTCTCAGCAGCTCAGTTGAAAACAGCTTTATAAAACCCACTTGTGCAGCATTGGTGGCATCAGCAAGAATTTAGCCCGATACAAACATTACACATACACACAAATATTACACACAAATTAGTTGTAGTAACTGAAGTTGTGGTATGACACACTCCACCCACCTAAAACCTTTAAAATGCAAATAAGAAATTAAGGAGAAAGACTTGAACAGTCCTTTCTACCTTCATATTGCCTACTATCACAGGGTGAGTATACCCAGCTGCAGGGAGAGCGTTGAGCCTGTCAGGCCCCTCAACACATGCTCCATCCCGTGAACATAGCCCACAAGAGCCCCCAGTTCTCTCACTACCCTCTTTTCCCCACACAAGAGTCCGGCCTAGTGGCAAAAGTCAGTAGCTATCACCTGTCTGTGGGGCAATATGGGCCAGTAGCCCGAGGCAACAGCAATCCCGGGCTGCGTGGTAGTAGGGCCCAATGGCCCAAGACAATAGCAACCCCTGTCTTTGGGGTAATAGGGCCCAGGGACCTGAGTCAATAGCAAGCTCCGTCCATGGGGCCAAAGTCAGTAGCAACAACAGTAGTGCCCGCTTGGGGTTTAATAGGGGTTTAATCGGGGTGGGGGTCCCAGCCCAGGGCCCTGTCAATGGCGGGTGTGTCCCACCATTAGCTCAACAGGGAATCCACCTGCAACACGCTGAGCTTTCAGGCTTTCAATTCCCTGCCCTGAGCTACTTCCTACCTGCCTCACGGCAATCAGCATCTTCCCCACTTGCCTCCTATGGCCTGGAAGTTTCCCTGGCTGGTCTCCGCTGGCTGTCCTCCACTGTGGCATCCATCTGCTGCTCCTCCTCCCAAGCTAGGGCAGGAGCTCTTTCCTCTGACTGAGCTGCTCCACTGGCTTTTATACCTGTTCTCCAGTTGGAGCCTGCCCAGCAGGGCTGTGAGGGTGGGGCTCTCTCAGACAGGTAGGCCTGGTTAACATTTACTGGCTCAGTGCGGGGCTGGTACACCCCATCACACGCACAATAGTAGTGATAATGTGACTCCATGAGCTTTCTGCCTCCATCTCCAACCTATACCAAAAACAATGTACCCCAACTTTATCAAAGCTTCATTCTAAAAAAATCCACACAATAACCGAATATGCTTTTAGATGTTATGTTAACAGATCAACACAATTTGGCATTTATTCCAACTATGCAGGAAGTTATTCTACCTTAGTACTCCTGAGGTAACTGTTTTGGGTTTGAGTTCAAGTTCAAAGAAGTAAATATATTTTTCATATCAACTGGGAATGGAGTGAACCTTATGGAACACGGCCATATACTACCACTAACTTTGTGGGCTATACAAAGATTGAAAGGAATGCATAAGTCTTTTATTTTCAGTACTTTAAGGCTTTGGGTGCATGGAGCATGTCCATGAAAGTGTTCATTAGCTAGTCTCTTCGTTTTTTTAGGCACCTTTGATTTATTTCAGTCAACAGCTTCCCAGAGTCAGGGAGAAGGAGAGTTGAATACACCTGAGAGAAAAATACACTGCTGAAGCTGCTCCTGATAACATTGACCCTTCTGAAGAGTGTGAGAGAGACTGTAACATGTCCCAATCAATGTTATGCTGATTCAAAGTTATTGGAAGTAGACAACCAAGAGCATCCCTCCATGTTTGACACTCATGACATAATCTCTGAAATGAAGGGACTTTCCCCGAAGGAAACTGTGTCATCACTCACTTCCCTTAGGGTACGTCTACACTGAACAGTTATATCAGAATAAGCTATTCTGGAATAGTTATTCTGAAATGGCTTATATTGAAATAGCACGTCTCCACTGCTGGGAAGCCTCAAAATTAGTCCGATGTAGGCTTCCCTAATGTAAACATGCTATCTCAATTTAGAGCCCCAGGAGGAATAACATGGAATGGCCTTGGTGAGGGGCTATTTTAAAATAGCAGCAAGGGAACATCTACACTCGCCTTATTTCAAAATAGCTATTTTGGAATAGGTGTTATTATTCGTAGAATGAGGTTTACAGAAGTTAAAATAAGCCGTCCATTATTTCAAAATTATTTCAAAATAACAGAATGGCTGTGTAGCCGCTTGCATAGTTATTTCGAAATAACAGCCATTATTCAGAAAAAACTTTGCTGTGTAGACACACCTTAAATGCTCTGCAGCCTCTCACAATTTTGTGGAAATTAGACACAGCTACAAAAGCTGTGTGTGTGCCTGCATTGTACCAGAAGGAATCCATGGCCTACTGCATCCCTTTCTTCTGAACCCCTGTCATATTACTGGGTTGTAACAGGAAAATGCAGGTCATTGTTGCACCCACTATTTTGTGTTTGCCCGATATCCTGTGCAAAGTGGGCCAAGTGAGGTGTCTAATGAAAGCTTATGTTATGCTGATTCAATGTATGCTACTCATAAACTTGTATGGTTTTTATATGTAAAGGTATGGATATTTTAAATGTCCTCTATCTGGGAGACAGCAATAGGCGCTGACCACCTATTGTGAGGAGAGATTATTCAGTAAATAGCTATGCTAAGCAGCAATGTTGCATAGACAATAGCTCTCAAGGTTGCCAATGAATACCTGAGGAATGCGGGTGGGAAGCAGCAGACACATCAAGGCTGCCTGCCTAAGGGATTATGGACAGGCCACTTGTTCATGTGATCAGCTCCAATTTGGGAGGTACCATCACTCAAGAGAACAATGGATTTCCCTCTGCATGCGCAAGATTATAAAAGGATCCTGGGGATGCCTCCCTCTTTGTCTTCAATGCTGCTCCTCACTTCAGAAGCATCCTTGTTATGGACAGAGGGCTGGGAAGGATGTATTGATGAATCCTAACATAGGATGTACTCCAGATACTTTTAAGCTAACATTTTGTTACGTCTCTGCTAACAGCCTGCATCAAGAAATTGGTGATTAGTATATGTTATGTGCTTTCTTTCACAATCCTATTTTCAACCGTCTCTTTCTTTTATTAATAATAAACCTTTAGATTTTAGATTCTAAAAGATTGGCAGAGTGTGCTCTTTTGGGTAAGATCTGAGGTATAAATTAGCCTGGTACTGTGGCTAGACCATTGGGACTGAGAGAACCTGTTCAGCGTTGGTGATATTGGGTTTTATAACCCCTTACCTGTGTAAGGTGCAGTGCTGTTTTTGGAACAGGAGATGCTGGGGTGTCTAAGGGGATTTGCTTGTGTGACTTCTTACTGGCCAAGGTGGCAGCTGAAGTACTCTGTGTGACTGGTTTGGCACCTTATAAGGAGGTCTCCAGTCTTGGCCTATAAGTAGCCCTGGTTTTAAGTAATTTGCCCTTATTTGACCCTTTCAGCAGTACCCCAGACCACCTGGTGTATTATAACCCCTATCCCTGACAGTATGAAAAACCTCTCACAACATACATACATGTCATTGCAGGCACCTTCAAATCTGACAGCTATCATGCTGGCCAATGTTGGGGGTTGAATTGGTAATATCCAGTGCTACAAGCAGAAGCCTTTCTAGCTTGTCTGAAAAAGCCAAAGCCTCAAACTGAGAGCTGCCAGAATCATATCCTTTGTAGAACAGCCATTGGGGGACACAGAGGTTACACTTAAATATGTAACAAATGCCCAAAATGTGACGCGTGTGTGTTTTGCTTTTGAAAACTATAATTTACATATTATCAGTTTTGAAGTACAAAAAACTATATTTGAAAGATATTTTTCCGTGTGCATCATATGCACCAACCTCCCATCTCATTTATCAGCAACAGTATTTGACCTGCTTGACTTCTATATCCCTAACTTAGATTTAATTGCTAGCCCCTTTGAATATCAGTCACTGGATGAATTGCACAACTAATTACTCTTCAGTAGTCAAACACTGGAAATCAGGTATACTGGATTCTATTCGGAGCATGGCTTACAGTAGTGGCTAGAGATAACATAACCAAATTGGATTAAGTCACTCAAAAAGGCAGCACAGTGCAAAGATTAACATCACAGTGCATCATAGGAGATTGTGCCTATACTGACCTATCAGCTGTCTGATAATGAATTAAAAACAAAAATAAGGGGAAGGGAATGTGTTTCATCAGCTGATCTAGACTGCCTTCTGGGTTGGGGGTTATAAACTTAAGAGAATTGAATGGGAATTCAATCAGCAGTTAGAAGAGATGAGATTTCACCTGCCAGTTGCCTCTTTCCTAGCTCAGGAAACATGCCCCTAGGCTAGTTGGATATTTTCTGAATCCCTTTGTCTCACTGCTCCAGAGGTGAGTGACAGTACTCACAGCACAGCAGATCTGTCATCAAATTTAAAATCCTTTTGGCACACATTTTTTGTTATGGACAAAAAGTTTTGAAAATCTCTGTAGACAAACACTACTCATGCATAACCAATTATAAAGGAATAATAAAGGGCACAAAGGATGGGTCTTGGAGGGCATAGTTATACCAGCAAATTATTTTGAAATAACTCTCGAAATAACTATTTTAAAATAGCATGTCCACATTACAGGGAAACCTCAAAATTAGTCCAAGGCAGGCTCCCTTAATGTAGATGCCCTAACTCAACTTACAGCCCCAGAAAGCACTGGGAAGTCATTACACTAAATGACTCTGGGGAGTAGCTATTTCAAAACAGGAGCAGTGGAGCACCCACACTACCACTATTTCAAAATTCTGTTCTGTTCAACATCTTCATCAACAATTTAGATATTGGCATAGAGAGTATGCTTATTAAGTTTGCAGATGATACGAAGCTGGGAGGGGTTGCAATTGCATTGGAGGCTAGGGTCATAATTCAAAATGATTTGGACAAACTAGAGAAATGGTCTGACAAACTTGATGAAGTTTAATAAGGACAAATGCAAAGTACTCCACTTAGGAAGGAACAATCCATTTCATACATACAGAATGGGAAGCGACTATTTAGGAAGGAGTAATGCAGAAAAGGATTTAGGGATCATACTGGACCACAAGCTAAACATGAGTCAGGAGTGTGACGCTGTTGCAAAAAAAGAAAACATGATTCGGGGATGCATTAACAGGAGTGTTGTGAGCAAGACACGAGAAGTCATTCTCCAATCTGTACTGATCAGGTCTCAGTTGGAGTACTGCATCCAATTCTGGGCACCATGTTTCAAGAAAGATGTGAAGAAATTGGAGAAGGTCCAGAGAAGAGCAACAAGAAAATGATTAACAGTCTAGAGAATATGACCCATCAAGGAAAACTGAAAGAATTGGGCTTGTTTAGTTTGGAAAGGAGACGACTGGGAGGGGACATGATAGCAGTTTTCAGGTATCTAAAAGTGTGTCACAAGGAGAAGGGTGAAAAATTGTTCTCCTTGGCCTCTGAGGATAGAACAAGAAGCAATGGGCTAAAACTGAAGCAAGGGAGGTTTAGGTTGGACATTAGGAAAAAGTTCCTAACTGTCAGGGTGGTTAAACACTGGAATAAATTGCCCAGGGAGGTTGTGGAATCTCCATCTCTGGAGATATTTAAGATCAGGATAGACAGACATCTATCAGGGATAGTCTAGATGGTACTGTACCCTGCTGTGAGGGCAGGGGACTGGACTCAATGACCTCTCAAATTCCCTTCCTGTTCTAGTGTTCTATAATTCTATGAAAATAACTATTTCAAAATAAGCATTATTCCTCGTGGAAAGCAGGTGTTATTAATTTGAAATAACCAGTCCATTATTTTGAAATAACAAGCTTGGTAGTGTGGAAATAACAAGTGGAGAGTCGAAAAAAGGGGAGCGTTTTCAAAATAACTCCCTGGTGTAGACGAGGGTAGAGAGTGTTAGATATCTTACACAAGGGTTACAGAGAAAAGCAAGGCAATCCAGTGAATAATCATTAGAGGGGATAATGTTTCTTTTTCTATCAATTAATTTTTTTAATCAAACCACCGTGAAAAATGTCAGTAATGTAGTACTCAAAAGCCTTTTAGCTTGTGGCCCCCCCCCCCCCCATTTGAATGACATTTTTTACAAAATTACATTTTAAAGATGTCAAGATAAAAATAAAAAAAAACCGTATCTGAACACCCTCAATAATTAATCTATTTAAATAGCTCCAATAATTAGTGAATTATTATTGTATAACAGTTAGAAATGTGGTTTATTTCTTCCAGGGACTTCAGATTCCATCCTCTCAAGCACAATTCTCCAGAGATAATTATATTGTAAAGAAACTAGCATATTGAGAATTAAGACCCGATGTCACCATTTTGGCAATACTGGTGATGGCTCCAACTACCGGTATTATGGTATTTTTGTTTTACTTATTTTATATATAGTTGCTGTAAAGTATTAAATATATTGAATTAATGTAAATTTTAAGTCAGTATGAATATAATATGAATCTCCAGCCTAGAATGATCTGCTCTTCCTTTAACTTCTATTAAAAATCTCGATAAATCTGTTATAGGAAGATGATTTTGGAATCCTTTTGCTAAGAAAATTACCTCACGTAAGTATTATTTAAGGACTTTGGGACAATTCCACATCTAATGTAACCCATAGAACACACTTACACAGTCCACTAAACCTTGTGACTTTATATCAATCCTGGTTCTCTGATGCTTCTGACCCAGCCTCACAACACAGTGACTTTATCAGAACCATGCTGACAGAGATAATGAAGCCAGTGGCACTCCTTGAGAACCCTCCCACTGCTGCTAAAAGGTGAAGGAGCACCAAGAGAAACAGAATACAAACACTAGTGATATCACATTTGCTTCCTGGGCTCCATGAAGCTAGTAGAAGATGATATATCCTCCCCCAAACCTTCCTTTCCCACCTTGAAGATCTCTGGAGAATCTAATATAACTTCCATATTCAGACCATGAATTCATTTTATCAGTCTCCTTTACTTATAATATCCAGATTCCAATTACCCTGTTAACAGACCTTTTAAAAACCAAAATCTAGGATTTTTCACTGCCATTTTGGAACGATTCCTCTGTCCTCTAAGCTGTCAACTATAGCCCAGAGGTGACCTTTTGGCAATATCTATTTGTTACTGATCGCCAGACTTAACCATTTAAACACATTGTTTGCTTGTTAAACAATTCCACCCAAAGAGATGTTAAACAAACATATTCCACCCAAAGACATGCTGTGGTACCTACTTGGGCTTTGTGGTCTGTTTTATGATTACTGTTTTCTTCATTCACACTTACGCTTTTTAATATCCAATGCACATAAGCCCATTTGCATTCAAAACAGGAAACTTTATAGAGGGAGAGTTGGAAAACTATGAATTAATTATGCTTCAAAGTTAGGAGGTCATGGGGTTTCAAGCAAAAAGAAGCATAAAGAGAGATGATAAAATGACTGGATATATGAAGTTTTGTTCAGTAAAACATACCCCTGGGTTTGGTTTATAAAGAATACATTTCAAGTCTTAGGTTAGCAGAAAAAGAAAGAAGATTTCTGACTTGAAAATTGCACAAAGACACAAAACTTAATGCACTTTTCAGGGGACATATAGTGTCTGCTGTTCCTTTACAAAGCAGAAACCCTGATTACAAAGTATAATAAAAACACTCTCTATTTTAGCTTTGTTTCCGTGTGGTGTTTTAGCCTAGTTTGCATATTTCACTGCTTTAGCGAAGTAAAAAAACCCCTTATGTCTATTTCATTGTAATAAATTCATGTTCTCTTTATTATTCTCTATATATTTTAACTTGTTTATGGTTTGAATTCATAAGTTCCATGTTTTTGAAAGATCAATTCTGATGCCTATTTTCCGGTACAATTTTACTTTAGAATTTGCTTTTATTGCTTATGTTAGATCCTAAAATTGTCCATTATCTGAGTCAAATAAAAATTAACAGTTATTCTGATACTAACCAAGTACATCAAATTAATAGGATTTCTGGGTTAAACTCTGAAGTATTTATTCAGTATAGCAAAGGAACACATAATTTGAATTCAGAGAGAGAGAAAAGGAAAGCAGGTTTCTATATAATACATTTTATTTTTCTTATGCACATAAAATCCCTAGATTAAAATAATATTAAGGTTGCAAAGTTCAGAAATGCCAGATATAAGGTTGCCTGTGCATCCTCAGTCTAGCTACATTGGGTATATATTTTAAGAAAGTCTTTTGCAGGGGTGGGCAATAAGTGGTCTGTGGGACAGCTGCATTTCACCAGGGTTAGCATCTGGCAGGCCACCTGAGGCTTTATTTACCTGTGTGTTCACAGGTATGGCCTCTCACAGCTCCCATTGGTCATAGTTCGCCGTTCCCAGCCTTTTGGAACTGTGTGAGGTAATAGCCTGGCCTGCAGGTAAAGAATGTGTCCATTGGCTCACCAGGACTAACTCTGGAGTTCTGCAGCCAGCCTGTGACCCACTTATTGCCCATTTCTGGTCTTTTACTACATTATCATGATATTTTTTCCACGGGACCCTTACCTTAATCAGTGCACAAGATGGACAGTGCTCACTGAATAAACAACTATTCAATCTTTAGTTTTCTGCTTGCGGGGCAATGTAGGACCACAGGCCATATTTACTGCACCCTATTCAAACCCTGCTCTGAAGACAGAATTAATCACTTCCTCATGGACTTTTCTTTGATAGTTACCAATATAGTATCTAAGTGCTTTACAAAAAGTTATTCTCAGAACACTTCAGTGAAGGAAGGTTGTGATTATTATCCCCCTTTTATGGCGAAAAAATGGAGGCACAAAGATTAAGGTCAAAAGTCTCCATTAATGTTTTGCACCCAATCTGAGAGACTTGGGACCTGTGTTATATAGCACTTTATGTGTTCAAATCACTCATATGTTCAAAGCAGTGAGCTGTAAGTGTTGAATGCTTCTGCAAATCAGACCCCCAGAGTCTAAAATCAGGCAACCAGAAAATGAGACACAATTACTGACCACTTTTGTAACAACTGGTTTGACTGAGATTCTCAACATCATTAAGGATGATCGGGGAGCAAAGACAGGGTTAGAATCTTGCTCTTCAAATCAGGTTGGAACTGAGTCAGAGGCAGCAGTATTAGGGTAGGGTGAGGGGGAGCAGGCAGGAACTGTTGCATTCTGGGAGCTGTTTTTTAAGTCAGGGGTCTGTATGTAACTGTACACAATTAACCTTGGTTAATTGTGTACATGGTTACACTTTCACATCTCTAGTTTAAATACAAATACTTCACTGGGCACACCCATATTTGTCACATTTGGACAACTCCCCAGCAGGCATAAATGAGTGTAACATACTGAAGCCAGTGGACTTATGCTGAGCCATAATGTCACAGATTATGTTTATCCTATGCACAATAACAGCATTAATTGTAATATAACAGTTCTCATATAAGGAAAGTAAGCACGGTCATAAAAAAATCATGAAGTGTGTGGGGAAGTTTTTTTTTAGGATATTCATAAAATATCATAACTTTCTAAGATCTGTCCTCACAAACCTATATGCTGAGTAGTGTCATTGAGTTTGTGCTGGCATGACAGTCATGGCAAAGAAAGTACGATTAGGCTGCCTTTGTGGCTTATCGGAGCATGACTCTCTGGTTCTATGTAAGGTTTATTGGCAGATCCTGTTTTGTGTTCTGGGCTTTTTCTTTTTGCTCTTGATTTTTTCTGGTCCTTAATACTTCAGAAGGGGTAGAACTGAAGTGTGCCTTGGTCTCTTCAGGGCTCTTCTCTGAACTGTCCATACTTCTGCAAATCCCTCTGGATCTGACTCTGCTTTCTCACAGTGGCTCCGCTGGCTGGCAAGTTACTCACGGTGTGGCTTACATCAGGCTTCTCTCCCATCAAGAGAAGCAGAGCTCTGCTTTCCTTCCTGGTCAGCCCTGAACTGGCCGGGGGGAGGAGGAGAGAGTCCTCTCCTTTTAACTCCCCTCTCCATGCTTGACATTCCCTGCACCTTATGGGGAAGAACCAATTAGCTCGACAGGCACTTGTTAACCCTCTCATCGCCAGCATAGTGCTTATCTACCCCATCATAGGAAAGGTTTGCATACCTGCAAATATCAGTGGGACATGCTCAAAGGAGCAATTATTCCATTGCTCTTTATAGACTGTACTCTAATAAATGCAGTTTATCACTTCAAGCTCTGTAGTGTCTAAAATTAGTTTTAGTGACTGGGCAAATATTCAGCTATTGTAAATTGGTTTAGCTGCAGTGAAGTGGAATTATGTTGGTATACTCCAGCTGAGAATCTGCCCATCTCACAATAATAATAAGCTGCCACAGCCCTTGTATTTCTAGACTGAAAATGGGCATCTATAGCTCTTGTGTACTAGATGATCAAGGAAAAAGTAATTTCTATCCCTCAAGAAGTATAATAGCAGTTTGCTAATGATTCAAACACTAATGTGGCTTAAACACTGTGTGCCTAACGTAGTGAATACAAGCAGAGAGAGGGTAAGTTTAGAAGATAGGATACACAAAGAACAAGTTAAAAATCACTTAGGAAAGTTAGATGTCAGCAAGTCACCAGGTCCTGATGAAATGCATCCCAGGATACTCAAGGAGCTGATAGAGGAGGTATCTGAGCCTTTAGCTATGATCTTTGAAAAATCATGGCAGACAGGGGAGATTCCAGAAGACTGGAAAAGGGCAAATATTGTGCCCATCTATAAAAAGGGGAATAAGAACAACCCAGGAAATTATAGACCGGTCAGTTTAACGTCTGTCCCAGGGAAGATAATGGAGCAGGTAATTAAGGAAATCATATGCAAACACTTGGAAGGTAATAAAGTGATAGGGAATAGCCAGCATGGGTTTGTGAAGAACAAGTCATGCCAAACTAATCTGATAGCTTTCTTTGATAAGATAACGAGCCTTGTGGATAAGGGAGAAGCGGTGGATGTCATATACCTAGACTTTAGTAAGGCATTTGATACGGTCTCGCATGATATTCTTATTGATAAACTAGGCAAATATAACTTAGATAGGGCCACGATAAGGTGGGTGCATAATTGGCTGGATAACCGTAGTCAGAGAGTTGTTGTTAACGGTTCTAAATCCTGCTGGAAAGGGATAACAAGTGGAGTTCCTCAAGGGTCTGTTTTGGGACCCGTACTGTTCAATATCTTCATCAATGATGTAGATATTGGGATAGAGAGTACTCTTATTAAGTTTGCAGATGATACCAAACTGGGTGGGGTTGCAACTTCTTTGGAGGATAGGGACATAATTCAAAATGACCTTAGCAAGTTAGAGAAATGGTCGGAGGTAAACAGGATGAGGTTTAATAAGGAGAAATGCAGAGTGCTCCACTTAGGAAG